TGAAGCCCAGAAAGTTCGGAAGTTCAAAGTTCAGTGCAGCACGTATTGGAACAGGGCTTGTCGGATTATCGCGAATCACTTGTGCGACAATGTCATCATTTTAACTGGCGAAATTAGATAGTCGTTCGTGAGCCTGACACCTTTCTGCATTCGATGGCCAGCACGCAGAACTACCCGCGAAAGCAATCACGCATCGTGCAACCCCAGAACGCTTCTTGCAGTTCTGCCAGCGGGTCTCGGCGGGAAGCGGCAGCCTGCGTGGCGTTGCGGCGCTTTGCAGCGCGACGGGCGCTGTACAGGTGCGACCTTCGAGCAGCATTAACTTCAGTTCGAAAGTCTGCCATTTGCAAGTCCGCCCGCCGCAGGTTGCAGTCGAACCTTCGAGACAGCAAGGAGATGCAGCTCGCAGAGACCCTGGGTCAGATGCAGGCGAAGGCCTCCTCCCATGGACTAGAAATAGCTGTCAGACTCCCGCATGTCTCGCATCTTGCAGGGCTCCACGCGACGGAGGGCGATTCGGAGGTGGTCACGCTGGTGCTTCGACGGTCATGGACCTCCTAGCTGCCAGTAGCTGCTGTTCAGTAATACATACATCGTGGAGAACTGGCCACTATGTAGAACTGCCATGGACAACATGATAAACCTTCTGCCAGGCCGCTGTTGGCGGCTTTGCTTCCTTCTGTGCAAAGAGTAGCTGCTGCATGCTGCTGCCATTTGCTGCCACGAGTGCTGAAGTACAAAGCTGCATGTTGGACAAGTACCTGGCCAGGTCTTTTTCATGACTGTTCATGCATATTTTGGGCCTGATTCCTGATGGTGTATGTGCCAGAAGTTGGTGTGCCATTGGCTGGCAGTGATCGAACCGGAAGTGCAAAACTGAAAACAAGACGTGCTGTCTACACCTCCTGTAGACGGCATTCGAGGTGCCGCAAGCGTCAGCAGAGGCGCCTGCTGCTGCGAGGCACTTCGTGCAGCATGCATGCCTCTGCATTCAAGTTTTTCGGAATGAAGTCGTCTGTCCCTCTATGACACATTGTCTGCTGTGTGAGGGGTCCGTTCAACACCACGGCTTTCTGTGAGGACACCTCCAGAACTACAGCAGGCCGCGATCCCTTCGCCGCTGCTTTCTTGGTTGGGCTTCACACGCCCGGGAAGAGCAGAGGACACCTGGGAAAATGATGCGAAGGGTCAGTATTGCTACCCCTCAGATGCTGAATGGTCTCCTGCTAGTGCTTTCCTGAGGAATCAAGTTACGCTTCAGAAGGCACAGATCATTCTGGACTTGCCTCCCGGCCACAACTTTAGCTTCGACTCATTGAAGGGCTTTCCCAAGTGCTCCTGTTTTTGCACTTGGTCCAGCCTTCTGCAGTGGCTTGTTGGAGCCATGTCAGCTGTGCAAAGTTGCTGAGTACCCTTGGAAGGCTTCTGTGAGGTTGTAAGAAAAAGTCGTCTTCATGCAAAACCAGGTCCCTCAAGAGCCGCACCTTCCACAGCTGGTGGGGTCGGTGGCAATTGGTCTGCAAGGGCGTCCTCTTGCTACGAGGCGGCCAACGTGCAATTCTGATCGCTCTCGCTGTGTGATGCAGCGGGCCAGGCCTTGGCCGGGGTCTGGATTCAGAGCTGCTGCGCCGGTTCCTGGCAGAGTGGCGGGCTTCCCTTCAGCGTCTCCAGCAGGACGTCCTTGCGAGCTGAATTGTGCAGGGAACGGAGAGAAAAAAGCATCAGTCTAGGAAAGAGTCGCCAATCAAACTGCGATTTGCGCAGGAGCGCGTGGTTCTGCACGGGCTCTTCGAAAGTCTTCGAAGGCGACTCCAACGAGGCGGATGGAAGAAGGGAGCGGAACACGGGAGACTGCCGGGGGTTATTCAGAAGGTCTTGCGGCATCGTCGGGTCACTACATATCAAGCCATTATAGACAGTGAGGCGTGTGATGGCGCCTGGCCTCCTTCCAAAGCATGCCGTGATTCGCTGGGCGCGGTTTAGTGGCTATGAGGGGCTTTATGCGGTCCCTAGGACCTAGGATCCTTTCAGAGAGTTTCGTGCCAGCGCTTTCTTGCAAGGCGCTGTGCGAAGCCTGACCGCCTTTGCGGTCACGAAGCGTCGCCACGGCGAGGTTTCAGCAGCGATCGCAGAGCGGCAGCGGAGGCGCGGAAGCCTCGCGAGAGCAAAGTCATGCAAAGCATGTGGAGAGTTTTCCCGTAGAGGGCACATCCTTGATTGTACAAATAGCAATGGGATCAATTGGCCGGGAACATTGGCAAATCAAGTGCACAATACTTCAATACACGGTCATCCGGGAGCTTAGAGCTCCAGGCCGCTAAAGGTGTTCGTGGCTCCTGGCCCCAGGTTCCTCCAGGCATCCGCCCTGCGTGCATGGAGGGACCGGCACCGTGCCGGTCGCGAGGCCACGTCGAAGCTTCGAGGTGCCCAGGGGACAGCGCCGCAACCCTCACGAACAAGGGAGGACTTCATAAAGGTCTTGGGGGTGAAGATCGCAGATGAGGGTTCGGAGTTCTGACTTCAGACAAAGCCGCAAGGGACGGCCTGGAGATCAGAGATCTGATTCGTAGGGCAGTCTCGAACGTGACAAGTGGGCAGAAATGTCTGCCCCCACCCCTGCCAAACCTTGCTTGGCAAGCGCACATCGCCTGCAACTCAACGGAAGCATCGACAGTGAGATCTACCTGTGCCCGGTACATTTTGTCAGCGCAGTTCTTTGCAGCTGGACCGTGAGTGCCAGTGCATATACCCGACTGCTCCACAGACAAGTGCAGTGCAAGCCGTGCAGGCCTGCACGATGGCCTTCGCAGCGACTTCATTTCTCTGTTGCTTGCTTCCTGGAAGCAGACAGCGCGGCAGCTTAGAGAGGCCTGGGCGGCTATGTGCTGAGATTGGTGGTGGGACAATAAAGTGAGTCGGATAAGCGAAGGGGGGTTGGGCGGAGGCTGGCATTGCTTTGTTTGCAGGGGCGTGTCGCGCTGAGAAGCTGTCGAGACGGCTCAATGTGTGTATGCCAACGTGTATGTATACACAGAGCTATGTTTATATACATGATTAGTATTTATCATATAACAGAGAGTGTTTGCAAAGATAGACAGTGTGTATAGATAGATGGATAGATAGACGGAAAGATAGAAAGAGAGAGAGAGAGAGAGTGAGATAGAGAGATAGAGAGATAGATAGGTAGGTAGGTAGATAGTAGATAGATAGAAGCAGATAGATAGATTGGTAGATAGATGGATGGATGGATGGATGGATGGATAGATGGATAGATGGATAGATGGAAAGGTAGGCAGATAGTCAGACAGACAGATGCTACACACTTCTCCTGTAGGCACGGGCGGCAATCGAAATCCTCGCGCGTGGAATGGGCAAGATGCGACAAGCAGGCGGCCAGAGGGAAGCGGGTTCAGGGGCAAGTCTCTTCGGGCTGAAGGCGCTCAGTCAGCTGTGGGGAGAATGTGTGTCTGAAAATCGCCTGGCAAAACCAGCAAACCCGGAAGCCTCGAAAACGAATACAAACCAAAGCACCAAGTCTCCGAAAACCTTGATTGTAGACCTGCACTTGCTATGGCCTGCTTCTGAGGGATGAGGGAGACAGGGGCTACAGGGGAGCCCAGCACCTGGGTTCTTAATAAAGGATTTGTCTTAAGTTACCATAACAAAGAGACCATATTGTGTACTATAGAACCCTGCTATGGTAACTTCATTAGACTCCTTCACAAGAACCCAGTTAAACCGAGGAGCCCTGTCTCGGCTCCGCGGCTTCCACTTCCAGTGTCTCAAAGACGAGCGGCTTTCGGTGGCCGAGGAGGTGGGTTTAGGGTTGAGTCTGTGCCCTTCCATCTTGCGGGCATCAAGAAGCTAAGATATTTTCGGATGGAGTTATGGACTATACATTCCCTGGCAGGGCGTGAAGAGCCGGGGTTGAAATGTTGACGAACGCCGGCCATCGTGACTACGGCAGTTTGGGACATTCCGTTCTTCCTTTCATCCCTCGCTCCGTTGGCACAGGCCGTGCAAGCAGTTCGACGGAGAAGGCAGAGCTAGCGGGGCTTTCGGGACTCGTAGGGTCTGGATCGTGCTGAGCTAATGTTGATCAGCTGTCGCTTCTCCGCAATTTCCACGCGCCTGACCAGTGAGCTGCATAGGAAGTTCATGACGTAAGTTGTTGGCTCGCGCCAACATCTTGCATGGTTGGCCTGGCAGATGAGAACTGCTAGGGCGCCTTCACAGACATGCTCTTGCGAACGAAGCTGTCCCGTGATTCATGGGCAGCACTGGACACAGCAAGGGTTCATCCTGACACGCTGGTCAGCCTCTCTGAATCCGAACGACCTGGTAGTTGCTCGCGGGTTTCTGTGAAGTTGGGGGATTTGCAGACATCTTTCTGGGTGGTACCGGATGCTACTGTCACGCCTGGCTGCCTTCAAATCCCACTCTGGCCAGCCATGATCTTCCATCTTAGCGAGGACTCCTGTGCAGAGGTACGACAGTGCTTTCCCAGTCGCAAGATTGCCGTGGAGGTCTATGGTCCGTATGTAGCTGGCACTGAGGGCCCCATGGTGCCTTTCATCATTCTGGGCATGAGTAGCATGAAGGATGCCATCTGTCGCCAGCTTTCTCGTTCACCGTGTGATTTGGAAGGAATGACGTTGGCGGTTCGACTGCTGGGCTACGTTTGTGCTTTCCAGATTCGTGAGGTCTGCGGGCAGCCCTCAGATTCACCGTGTACCGCCTTGGACCTGAAGGTACACCAACACCTGCTATCATGCCAAATCGGCGGCTCAGAAGAGGAGACAAGGCGGGGAGAGGAGGCTGTGGAGAAAGGTTTGGCAGCGATCTCCGTGAACACTGGCACCTCTTCGCTCGCACTGCCATTCCCCGTCCTGTTCGAAGGCGGCCCGCCGGCCTGCAAGCTTCAGGCATTCTTGCAGATGCTGGACGCGCGATGGACAAGCAAGGGAGGCTGTGGAATCATTCATTTGCCTATCGTTGACATGTGCTGGGAGCTGGTTCAGAATGGGGGCTCCGCAGTATCCTTCGGCAAGTATCTCTTGAACTTCCTTGCGAACCTACTACCGGGTTGGCGGCAACGGGTGGGTGGAGAAGCCCTGGTTTCGGGACGATGCGGACAGCAGGTGGTCTTCTTGGGTTCCTTGGATGGCCCTCTTCCTATACAGGGAAAGCAGTTGGCCGACTTCCAGTCGAACCTTTGGCCACTCAGAGCTTTGAGGTCGACTGCGGTTGTCCTTGGCGTCTGTTCCTCGAAAGCGGAGGTCCACCCGCTGTTCAGGGATTATTTCCTGGAAATTGAGTCTGGGCACTCTGGCTCCCTCCCAAACCTCGGCTTCCAGGCAAAGCTAGGGCACGGAAGGGCTTTCCAGAGCTCCGCCGACGCCACCCGTGTCACGGTCGTTGGGTGCGACAATGTTCTCCACGAGCTAGAGACGACAGTGGTGCAGTACTTCCGCAGTTTGGAGGTTTTCCACGGCATGGGTATAGCTTGGCCGCCCAGGACCCTACTGCACGGGCCCCCAGGAAGTGGGAAAAGCCACTTACTGCGATGGCTGTCTTCCCAGGTAGAGGTCCTGGGTGTTCGAGTCTCGTGGCTTCGTCCTTCAGACGTTCTTTCCCGGTACTTGGGTGAAAGTGAGGAGCGCTTGAGGCTGGCGTTTGCGGCTGCCAGCCAAGGGTCCCAGCCAGGATCTCTGTTGTTGATCGAGGGCTTGGACGACTTTGTACGGCCTCCGGCAGAAGACAGCAGCTTCCACAACAGGATGGCGGCCACTTTCTTGACACTTCTAGATGGTATCGACTCCCCGGTGTCTGCGCCGACCAGCTGCAGACAAGGGCGTTGTTGCCACACGGAGTGCCAGTGAGAGGTTGCAACTTCTGACTCTGAGGACAGACGCCCCGGGGCTTTCTGTCGTCGCCACCTCCCGAACTCCAGCCGAGGATCTGGAGACTCTGCAGCGGGGGTTTCACCAAACTTCTCGAAGATGAGCGACGTAATTAAAGACTAAACTTAGTGCCACGACGGAAGGTCGTAGATTTCTGCGAGCCTGGCCCACCTTGTCTCACGAATCAAGCTCAGGACCCTCGGGTGACGCGGCCAGGACGAATGGACAGGTGGCTGCGGATGCTTGAGCTGCATCTCTTTGCTGTTAAGGGAATTCAGGGCCTGGCAGCCCAAATCGAAAAAACGTGAACCCGAAATCCTGCTTCCAAACCCAAAGCTGCCGAGGATCGGCTCTCCAGCATCTGCAGAGGACAGGTGGCTGCTCATCGAGCACTTCGTCGGAGAAGCAGGACGCAATGCTTTCCATGATCGTTTATCGCCCAGGTAAGCCAACAGAGTTGCACGTTGCACTTCAGACGAGTTTTTGTTACATACTGTGTCATACAAACCACACCCAACAAACATCAACAAAAATTCAACTACACAGCAGATGTATTGCATTCTGCGCATAGGCCCATTTGCTCGGACGTAAGTACGTAAAACACGGATGTGCAGAGACAGAGAGCCAAATGCTCCGGTATGCAGTGCATGGGCAAAGTTGTAGTATCTGCACTTACACACACACACAATCACACACACATACATACCATACCATACCATA